TCTCCTACACCAATCTCCTGTGTTCGCTTCTGATAGAAAATAGATGGTGAAACGCTTGGATTTCAAAAGTCCAGGAATCAGCAGAGAATGCCTAAACTAGTCGAAGCTAACTGTTAGCATTAGCGACTCCGCCCAATGACAGAACTACTTCAGCTTTGTGTTATTTGTGGAGATACAACATCAACGTTGCAGAGAAAACTGAGTCAGTGGTGGAGTCACTGGCTGATAGCCAATCAGAGGAGAGATGTCAAAATGTTAGGAAATAAGACTCCGAATCCTGTCAGCTGAAGCATCTTTTTCCTCTGGCTCACTTCTCAAACAGGCGCACTGGAGCTTTTCTTCCCCAGAGAACAACTTACAGGGCATTCATTCAAATTCAATTCAATTCAATTCAAAAATACTTCATTAATGGCAGAGGGAAATTCAATTGAGACCACTGCAAATGTATAAAAAATACGAAGAAAGTTGACCTTTACACATTAACATCTGGTGGGCTTGGATGTTTTCATGTATAGGAATCTATGGGATTTATATTTTACCTTTCATCCAAAAGGTTTTCCAGTATAGGTTGCTAGAGGTTGAGTTGTGTTGTTAAATGTTTTTGTAGATTCTCATTCATCCAGAATGTGATCAGGGACATATATCCTGATCTAGTGGCTCCAACAACATTTTTGGGATAATTGTCCCTCTGATGCCTCACAAACCTGAAACTCCCAACCCACAAGTCTTTGTTCAGATGAGTCCACTTACCTTTTATTTATAAGATGGGGTTGTCATGATATGCATCTACTTCACCACTTCATGTCTGGCTGCATAAATTCAGCCTAAATTCAGCTTTTAACTCTGAATATTTGATTATTGCTAAGCACTTGGTTCTCATGTTCACCCGCACACACACGCGCACACACACACACACACACACACACACACACACACACACACACACGCGCGCGCATGCGCGCATGCACACTTAGAAGCATTGGCATTGGTGGTTAAACTATAAAACAAAGAAGAAGCGCAGGTTTCTCACCCAGGTGTGCAGTTGCAGGGTGATATGCTGTGTTTGGATTATTCAGAGGGTTTTGTGGTTCGTTCAGTGCAGCTTCTTAGCCAATCAGAGCGTGACCCGTGGATATCTGAGAAGCTGATTTGTTACTTTAAAGGTTCATAAAGTTTCTTTCTCACACGGTTTCAGGCCTTATTGTTTCCTCTGCATATTTGTTGTCAACTTATTCTGGCACGAAACATTTTCACTGTTTGTCTCCAGCTCTGTATTTACAATCACGACTGAAGCATTCTTCTGCCTCCTTACCTCATTAAACTGCATGTATCTCTGTCAAGCATCAGGTCTTCTCGCTCTATTCATGTCCCTCCTTCTCTCGCATTAGTACATCTATATTTAGACCTCCTTCCTTTTTTCTGTCCCTGTCTTTGTCCCTCTCACACTCAAAAGCACACAGCTATTGACGGGTTAGTGACCTGAAGCCAAGTAGAGATGCATATATTAACTGGAAATATGTCCACCTACCCATTAAAAATACATCAGACTGAAATTCTAAGTTACCTGCCTCCTGGCTCATAAACAGCCAAGGAAAAAAGTGCAGAAAATGTTTTTGCTCTAAGACTGTAAATGCTGAGAGCCATCTGGAGCCTGTAAATTGTAGGAACTTGTGTGTTTATGGTGTATATTTGTATTATTGGCTTATATTTCACCCACTGGCCATTGCTAATTGGCTAATCATCTCTGTAATACTCATGTGATGGATTATCATTAGCAAATCAGTTGTCCCATTGCACAATAACAACATTTTTACACTCCAATAGAGTAAGCCAATTATGCCTGATTGTGACACAATGAAACTGTTTTGATGGTAAGAAATAAACACAGCTGCAAAATTCAGAGCTGAAAATAAATGAGAAGTAATTCCTGATCTAATTATAGAAAGTTATATTTTTGTTAATATGGAAATATTATTTCAAGTATTATACAAGATTACACAAAATTAGACAACCTCTACTGACGATAAATGTCTGGAAGTTGCCCCTGGCTGTTTTGTGTTGCATAAAACCTGAGCTCAGTTTGCCTTGAGCCGGCCAGCAGCATGAAGTCGAGTGAAAATCTGGTGCAATAATGTACAGCATGAAAAGCACAATTTAAACTTGTCCCCTCAGCTTTGGAGACCAGCTGTTAAGGGAACTCCTTTTGGCGATCAATCAAAGTCTCTTAACCACTGGTGTACCTTGAAATGAGCTTTTGAGTCAGTGAGATTCTGTTGAAATGTAATGAAATGATCACTGACCTGGTAAAGGAATATAATAATATCACAAAATTTTAGCCTCAGTGCATACCATCACACAGACATTTTTTACAGCACCACACTCCCTCCTGCTCAGCCTTTTTTAGCCTTGCACTCTCTCTGATTGCATGATCAGAATAAGATTTGGTTCTTTTATCAAAGTTTAGTCACTCAGAAAGCACGTAACAGTTTTCCAGACTCGTGTTCAAGGCCGATTTGTTTGTTCAAATTAACTTTTCAATTTCTTATCTGGATTTAACTTTGCTTCTGAAAAGTTTTGTCACTTGTGCACATGTGCCCAATGTGCTGAAAATCTCTAAGTACAACTTGACAATATATGGGTGAATGTGGATCTTGTTTAAGCCCCTGTGGGTTGCGTATGGTTCTGTTGCTCTTTTTTCCTTTTGCTACGATTTTATTGAAACATTCCTAAAGTTACCCATAATTGTAGCTGCCACAATTGTTGTTTTCAGCTTGCAAATATTAAGATGTTGCAGTAAATTCTTCTCGTTATGCACAAACAACCAGGGCCTGTTGTTTATGTGCACGCATAATTGAAAAGGTGAGATTATTTTTTTTAGGTTAAGCCCAGTTGCTCCACTAATCTTCCTCCCTGTATCAGTAACCATGAGTTCTTTCTTTTGTGTTATTTGTCCTGTGGCAACAGCCACACCACCTTCCACCACTGCAGTAATAGATCTAACTTTGCAGAACCAGAGGAGTGTTGTCCAGGTTGTTCTACGTAAAGTGATGTTTAAAATGTAGCATCTTTACATTGTGTATCTACATTCAAATCATTTTATTCATCATTTCTACAACTGGTTGACGATCTATTTAGAAAATGTGATTTGTTCACATTTCTTAAATGAAAATGTGTGAGAATAGGATCAATGAACATGTTGTTTGTTACCAGGGGCAGATCTACTGGGGTGGCATAGGGTGGCAACTGCCACCCTGAAAAAGCCTTGCTATTCCTGCCGTCACCACAGCTGGCAGAAATGATTTAAAGATATTTTTGTGTAAATCTGACATTTCAAACAAATAAACACATAATTTACGTAAATAAACATTTTACGCGAAACTCGTGGTTACTATAAAGCACTGTTTACATTATGTGCCATGAAAATCTTTGAGGATACGGTTTGGAATTGGCCCCAGTCAGATTAGCTAGAAGATCATGTTTCTGGGCGGAAGTAATTGATGTTTCTCCAAACTGAGGTTGATCAATAAATGGGTAAGATTTTAGTTGTTCAGACTCATTTTTACTGAAACACACCTCAAAAGACCTGAACTGTCTATTTTAAGTAGCTAGTGTTAAGCATAATCTGGATCATCTGGATTAAAAACTTCAACAGTTTTATGTGCTCTGAAAATGGTTTTGTTATGAAACTTAGAAAACTACAGTGTGACAGTTTTGACTGAAAATGTTTTCTCTGCCAAGGCTTGTCAGTCCCTCTCCTAAAGACCTCCTCAGTTTCAAAGATCACAAACAGGATGACGCGTGCGGCTCCTCCGAAGCTCACATTGTGGCGCACAAATCAAAAGGTGTCAGTGAGAGAAACTACCTACAGAGAAAAACAGAAGATCTCTGCTGACTTCCCTCTTTTCTCCCATTTTCATCTCTTCCCTTGTCTCCAGTGTGATGTGAAAGCAGCCTGCTGTGTGTTTGACTGCTTGTGTCTGTGTGGCACTCTGTGTGTGTTCTGGGTGGGATGAGCGGTTCTCTGCCGGTAAATATGTCTTAGCAGCTCCGAAGCCTTTATTTTTCTGATGGATTTGTTGAATGATTTGTCAGAGCACACACTTTGAAAAGTTTCAGACTCCTAATGCCTCATCTAAGCTTTTCAATTCAAAATAGTTTTTATCATATTTATGTCACTTTTTGAAGTGTTAAGAACTTAGAATTTATTATAATGCATTTATAGAAACTCACAAGTTGTAGGAATTTAGAGGTCCTCATTTAGTATAGTAACGTCTAGGGTCGTGGGTTGGTCTCTTGGACTCTGTACTAGACTGGTTCTGTTCATACCTGGAGAATAGCGTTTTTAGCGTGCAGCTTGTGCCTCACCCTTGGTTTTGGGGAAGTGCCTCAGGGCTCAGTCCTGGAGCCCCTCCTATTTTCCATTTATCTTCTACCCTTGTGATAGATTTTTCAGCGTTGATTTGTCAGATCTATAAAAGGACCAGACATGGACGTCCAATTTGTAAATTGTCTCTAAATGAGGTAAAGACTGAGTTTATTCTTTTTGAGCCTAGAAGCCTTTTACGCACATCGTCTGTTCCTAATATTCTGTGTATTAACTTGAAACAACGTGTCAATAGCTTTGGGATGAAATTGGACGTAGGATTTTCAATGGTCCCTCAAAAAAATGCAATCTATCTAATGTCATTTTAAGTGTGTTCAGATGCCTATGGAGCCACTAAGCCATGGAACTCCGGCACTTTTACAGTGAGGTTACATTTATGATGGTGATGATTGATTATCTGAGGGTTTAACACCCAAAGTCAAATAAAAGTCACAGCACTTAGAGTAATGGTTGAATTGGCACGGCCTGTTTCCTGCAGTGCAGTTGTTGGGTTTATTTCAATTCTAGTAAAAAATAATAATAATTCTCATCACATCTGTATTAAAAAAAACTCAAAAGATGTCAGTTTTGTAACGGTTATTGAAATATTTTGTATATTTGTGTATTTGTTTTACAGTATACCTCATCGCTGACATACGATGGCGTCCTGGTAATGGCTGAGGCCTTCCGTAACCTTCGTCGCCAAAAAATTGACATCAGTCGCCGTGGCAACGCTGGTGACTGCCTGGCTAATCCGGCTGCTCCCTGGAACCAAGGAATAGACATGGAGCGTGCTCTCAAACAGGTCAGCAAACTCAGAAAAAACAAGCTCCTGCTTGTGTTTTCTTCAATTTTTATTATGTCTAAGTAAAGATATTGGACAATACTTAAATGTGTCATTGGAACAGGCTACTGACATCAGTCTCTAATGTCTTGTCAGTAGAAGACTTATTAAACCATCCTAAACTATTCATGTCTTGCACATCCGTTTGCTGTGAGGACCAGAGTGCTCACATTTTGTATCGGGTCCAGACGAGTTAAAATATGCTGGCTATTTACGGACACGCTCAGTGTGTGTTACATAAAGGAGAATGATGATCTGACACTTCATGTGATGCATTTATTGCTCATTACTCCCTTTAAAAGGGTAATCTGTGGCAGTATCCAGCTGCTGGCTGTGAGCACAGCTGCAGCTGCTCTCCCTGGCTGCTGATGCTGGAGCTCAGTGGATTTTGAGCAGACTGTGGATGGTCATTTTGGTTCAGCCTTTGTGCATGTCCAGTCGATAGCATTCAAACGCGCTGTGCCTCTTTGTTCGATGCGTTACAAACACATGAAAGGGACTCAGGTATCGAGCTAAATTGTGGGGACACTTGTAGCAGGTGTTATTAATGCTAATAAAAGAAACAGCAGAGTGCATCACAGCTGTAATGATATGAGCTAAAGCAGAGTCACCACTGCTGGTCATGGTGATCACTATCACTCCTCTACACTTTAGCTCTGATTACAGTTTCTGTCTGTTCCAGTAATGGTCAGCCAGAGGTGGTGCATCGTTTCTTTTTGTTTTATTTCTAAATGAATCAAGGCTGACTTCAGTCAGGCCAGCAGTCGCAGAGCTGGTGTCTCTATTAATATCACATTCACTCGGCTCTGGCGTTCAAGGACCCTTCAGATTTAAGGACATAGCCTCAAAGACTAAGTTCAATGAGAAGCAATTTTATACTTTATATTTTTTATTTATAAATTATCTGTCAAACATGCAGGCTAAACGTAAAACCAGACTTATCCCCTTTTTCCTGCATTAGCAACGAAAAAAGAAAAGGAAACACTCAGATTAGAAAATTCAGTCAATCGCACATTAGCATTCATGGACTCACCCATCTTGGCTCAGGACAGGGGAAGGCTGTTGTTGGTTTAGCATCCAGGAAACAGCAGAGAAAGTTAGCAGTAGCAACTCCACCACACAGCAGAACTTCTCCAGGTTTGTGTTATTTATGGAGATAAAACATTAACATTATAGTAAACAGAGTCAGTGGTAGATTTGCTTTGCTGTTAGCCAATCAGATGCAAATATCAGGAGATAAGCCTTCAAATTCTGCCTTCTGCTTCCCTCTGCTCCGGCTCACTTCTAGCTCCTGAAACAGGAGCGCCAGAGCTTTTTTTTCAACAAACATTGACTCACAAGGCATTTCTTTACACTAAAGACCACTGCAGACTTGTTGAAAAAAAGTTGTGAACTTGGTCATTTATGCCACTTACACACTAGCGTCAGCTTCACTTCACTCTGCCCCGGCCGCATTTGTTCTTCACTGCCTTGATGTCTCCATTATTAAACAAAAGTGGCCTGAGCAGTCTTGCCTTCGGAGACTCTAACTCTGATATTGCATCCTGCTTCACTGTGTCTGGCAGTGCTGTGTGTGTGTGTGTGTGTGTGTGTGTGTGTGTGTGTGTGTGTGTGTGTGTGTGTGTGTGTGTGACATGGAAAAACGGCTTCAGTCAGAGTCTCGTTATGTCCACAGCATCCAGAATGATAATGAATCACGCTTGCGGGCTGATTCTATCCACCAATTGGAAGCTCCGCCTAATAGTGGGCATGCTTTTGAGCCGACCAGTCGGTCAGCAGTAGGTGTGTCGGCCCTGTTTGGCTCCAGGCAGACCTCCTCGAGAAGAGGGCTGAAATGACGTCCAGTTGCGCTCGGGAAAATCCGAGGCTACCTAAATGAGAAAACTCCCAACCCGGTCCAGGTGGAGTGGAGCTGCTGCTAGTGTGTAAGGGCTATAAAATTCTGCAGCACATCAAACTCATTCAAGTCTTACAATAATGTTCCTTTAAAAGATTTCAGTCATGCAGGCATTTATTTTGTTTTGATTTCATCATAATTGTTATGAGTTTTCCAATCCTTACTTTTATTGTTGCTATAAATCCAGGTTCGCATTCAGGGCCTCACCGGAAACATCCAGTTTGATCACTTTGGTCGAAGAATCAATTACACCATGGACGTGTTCGAACTGAAGAGCAATGGACCACGGAAGGTAGGCTCTCCTCTTGGCTTTAAACTACAACAAGGATGTGTGGTTTACTTCATTCTTTCAAGCTTCATCATACTAAAAAAAATAAAAACAGCAAATTTTGACATATATATTATCTCTAAATCTTATGATTGTGTGTCACTAAGGATCATTCTTGTAGAAGCTTGCAAAAGGAAACTGTTCTTGTTATGTTGATAAATCTCACAAAAGTTCATTTACATTCATTTTATTCCAAAATTTGTGCTTTTTTTAGATGTATTTGACACAATTACTGTCAAATGTTTGATCACAGCAAAACAAAACAATTCCTAAGCTTCTGCATTTTCTAAAGAAAACAATTTCAAATGAATGAGTTTTCTTCATGAAAATTTTCAGAGAAAGAAAAGATGACAGTATTTATAGTAAACACAAAGTGAATTCAATAAAGATATAAAGTATAATTCAAGTAACTCAATATTTCCTCATAATCAAAGTGTTTCTTAAAATTAAAAAAATACTTTTTACTCATTTTTATTGAGCCTTTTATGTTATTTTTGATTTGATGCATTAGTTACTTACCCTTTCTCCTGCGTAAGTGTCTGCAGGCTCTGACTTTTACTTTTGCACGGTTTTTGTTTCCTCAGATTGGCTACTGGAACGACATCGACAAGCTTGTGTTGAACGAGAATCCGCTGTCCAACGACAGCTCAGCGATGGAGAATAGGACTGTTGTCGTGACAACAATCATGGTAATGTACTCTGCGTCTGATTTGGGGGGGGGGGGGGGGGGGGCATACTTTTGCTCAAGTTTGATGCTTTTGGTTAAAGCCGTTTTCCAAGTTCTACTCATTACAGAGCTCGGAAAAGCAAATTGTTAAGTTGTAATGACTCAACATAGGATTTTTAGGCACTTCTTAATTAGTTACTGGAAACCTCTAAATTTAATTGACTACTAAACATTAATTACTACCTCCTTTTCCTTTTGATGCTAGCTGAAGTCCTTGTTGGTGGCTGGCCTCTATGATTTGGAGGAAATCTGAACAGGATCTGCTCAGAAACTTTGTAGAAAGTGAGCAGATGATGACTTCTCAGCTAAAGTTGAATGTGACTCAGGAAACACTTTTAATGAGTATGACATGCACTCTATGCTCTAATAAGCATCTCACATCTCAGAAAAGCAGGATATACCTAATAAAACAGGGGAAAAAATTCTAATTTACAGCCTTTTAAGAAAATTGCCTCTTTTAATTTGTCCAACAAAAATACATAAAGATGCAGAAATGTACTTCTGGTCACGCTCCGATGTTTGTAACAAGATTTATATAGTTCACAAGCATCACACCCTACAGGTTATGAAACTAAGCCTGGGGCCTACATTGACCTTTGGCCTTTCATTATCCATTCAGAGTTGGAGAGCCCATGGGAGGACGTACATTGAGGGAGTAACAGAGGAAAAATCAGATCGGAGAGGATGAGTTTTATGAGTTGGAGAGAGTTCCCACAGACCAGCCAGAAGGGGGTGGCACTTGTCCATTTGGAAGATTAAACTAATGTCTCATTAGCAGGGAAATTTAAAACTGACCTCGAAACACCATTTAGAAATGACCTCGGTCCGCTGTTTAATTATTCCCTCCTTTTCCCTGTGAGGAGAATGAATGAGGACTCTTTGGTGGATCCTCTGCTTACACATGATGCCACTTCACCCTTCTGCAAATGTTTTTATGGTGACCATCTTCTTCATGTAACTCCAATCAGTCTAATTCAATTAGGCATGCAAAATGATGCAAGTGAAAGCAACTCAAAGGCCTAATTTTAGCCAAGAGATAAAACAAGCAACAGATACTCAGGATGCATTGCCTTATGGAGAAAAGTGATGAATGGGACCAAAGTATCTTTAGTTGTACTTGTGCAAAACTCACATAAATGGTACAATCATTTACTATGCTGCCTGTTATGGTTGGAAGCAGAACTTATAGATTCAGAAAAGTGTAAGAAATTCAGATTTTAATTGTGTATATGCATGTATGAAAACACATCACTGTGTTTCTATCCTTATGGCTGTTGAATTTGTCTTATTTGTGTAATCGTAGAAGAGATGAGTCACAGTGCTGTTTGCCGTCTCCGTCCCCTCTGTATTGCTGCCCTCCCATGTCTGTTTGTGCCATGACCTTTTCCAAACTTCTGCCTTGTCATTCCTGTCCTGTTTCTCTTTAACCCATCTCTGCTCTCTCACCCCTTGTTTCTAATGAAACTCCTCTCGTCCCATTTTTCTCTGTGGATGACCTCAGCAGGCCTTGACTAACATTAGCTCAGCCACCTCCTCCTCTTTGCAGCCTCTGATGATGAGGAAGCCTCTGCTGCGACACTGATCCCGAATCTGCAGGCAGAGAAATGGGATTGAGAGCCAGAACTCTGGAAAAGGCACAACTACCAGACTGAATCTGATGCTGTGCAGAGACTCAGTGGGCATGTTTTTGCCTCTCCTGTATGTTTTTTTAATTGTTAATATTGGGATTTTGTTCTGAAATCACTGAGATAATTTTCTTTGTGTTGTCATGGTGAAAAATTAATGAAAAAGAGGTTTATGCTTGGTGTGTTTTAAGCCTGCCTTTCTCCCTGCTTCCTATCTTGAAAACGAGAGGTTTCTAAAGCTTTCTCTGGTCCTTTTTAAGGTCTTAGTTCTTATCTGCAAGATTTCATCTGATTGTGAGAAAACCCACTGTAAATATGGACTGCTTTTCTGATGTTTCAAGGACACCTCACAGCAAATTTTGGTTGCATTGCAATGTGCCGTCAGAAGAAATTGAAAAATATTGATACACTGAAATATTGCAAAGTTTTATTTCATGACACTGAATCAATATTTGAAAGCATTGTACCTTTTTTTAAAATAATTTACATGCAAACATTTATTGATTCATTTGTGTGGTGCAATTCAAACTCCGACTGCTAGGTGGCAGCATTTTTACCACCTTCATTCTGATGGAACAACGAGATCTTACGATAACACTGAATGTGTCTGGCCTGAGTTTTCCCAATTAAACTCAATCTTTAAAATTGTAAATATTGTCTAGCTTTTAGTATCACGTTATATCATATCACCTCCCCTGTATAGTGATAAATATTGTAACGCCAGATTCTCACTAATGTACAGTTATTAAACTGCTGCCACAAACTGAAAAATGCTAAAATGTAATCATGTAACCTTGTTTTATAATATTGTGTCGATATTCTTTCACATTTTATATTACAAGTTTCTCACTGGGCCTCCACAGCAAAAAAAATTATTTACGTGAATTTACGCGAGCCTAGACCATTCTCCAATAACACTGTGTATCCACAAGAAGAACTGTCAGTCAGTGATAATGCTCCCAGTTCCCAGAGTGCAGGGAGGGTGGTCTACTGAAGCAGGGCCAGCTTATCACACCATCCTAGCTTGAATGCTAACCCAACCTGCATTGGATCAATGTTGATCTGTAAACTTCACGCTAACTGTCGAAGAGGAGGCAGCAGAATTAAAAAGGGATTTATCTTGTTTGTATCGGAGCTAAGTTATTAGTGTAGCGTTAAACCTTAAAAGTGCTGCCAACTTTTGAGCTTTTTCAATTCATAAGAACGGGAGAAGGTGTTGGCGTGCAGACCATTTTGCCTCTGGAAGATTGCCGTGAGAGTGCGGGGGGTCGCTGATTTTTCTGGGTGAGATATTGGAGGTGTGGCATGAGAGCGAGCGTGTAAAGAGGGTCAAATGCGTGTGTCTCACACTCAATGCATGAGCGTTGGCAGTCCTGCCTTAAGCTGGGCGGACATTGTCACTGTCCAACTCTACGACTTCCTCACAGCAAGACTCATGAGTCATGTTTTCACTGTACGATCCAGTACTCAGATGCAACCTGACTGCTCACACTGCACGTGAGGTAGCAACACGACAGACCTAAAAATATGCTAAAAACAGTCATACTTACACAACCTGTTGGACCTTCAAGTCCGAAAATCCTGAAGACCAGGAGGCTGTTGTGGTGTTATTGATGTCTGTTGTCCTCCGGGCTTGCAGTGGGAAGACACGCAGAGGTTTATTGGGGTTGGAGAAGGAAGATGAAAGAAAGGAACTAAAACAATGTTTTGGGATCAGTTTAAGTTGACATAAACATGGCAAACAAGCTTTCTTGACATTCCTTGTCATTGTGTATGGAGAAAAGTGTTGAAATAAAAAAAACAACAAATGTTGATACAAAAATTGCTGTAAGCCATGTTGATGCATGCGCTGTGAGCGGCTCTGGTGTTCTTGTTGTCACCATGCTGCTTCAACAGTGTGAGAACCTTAAGCTTGGTTTATGCTTGATGCATTCACTTTCCCCTTGGTGATGCGGCTCGCGGATGGAACGAGCTTCACAACTCGCAGCATTTATGGTTCATGTGGCTTGTCTCTGCGGTGAGCCAATATTCTCCCAAACTGAACGGGGCAGCATGGAGCTCTACAGCATGCATCCAACACTACCATAGTAGAAGTAGAAATTGGCACCAGCATTTTTTAACAGCGTCCTCGTCTTTTCCGACAGTGCGAGCTATTTCTCTCCAAGAATTATTAACGATATGTTGATCACGGTGATCTTTGAGAGCTGAATCATACAAATGTCTGTATTTACGAACCTCTGCCATACTAGTTCTTGCCGGTCCGCCATGTTTTTCCCCGTCCAACTGTCCGCGTGGTTAGAAAATTTCCTAGGTGCGCGGTGCGGAAATTTTGGGCCGTACGGAGGCACAGTGGAGGGACGTGGTTGTTAAAATGACGCAATTTCCCCGCACGGAGCCGTGCGGACCTTGTAGATGCGTCAAGCATAAACCAACCTTTACAACGGACAGGCAAAATATCAAACATGTTTGATATTCGGTCGACCGCACAATGCGAGCTGGTCTTAAGGTGTGACCTCCTGTAAACTACATGACACATGACGCAAAACTCGCCCTGACCTCACAGACTCTTGCACGAAAGGAAATTCAGCTCAAAGCACTGTTGTTTTAGCTTATTGTAGCGTTAGCAGGGGTGTGCTAGCATCCAAATTGCCTGATTCCTTCTGGTTTTAGATAGTTTCCTGCAGATTAGCAGCTCCTGCAGGACCCCATGAAGGCTGAGGAGATAATTCAGCAGTATAAATCAGGTGTATCAGGTGTGCATACAGTGTAAGAACATTGAACATAAAATCAGTCTTTATGCAGATGATGTCACTTTTTCTCCAGAATTTTCTCCAGAATTCTTAATCCTCTTTCTCTCAAGCAAAAGAAATGATAAACTCTTTTTCAACCGTCCTTTTCAGATTACTCAATAAACTGGTTAAAATCCACAGTTCTACCAATTAATTTCTCGTTTGTCAATTTGCTTAATACACAATTGGAGTCAGGGAATATCACATACCTGTGAATTAATGTTTCTCCCAAGCTGGCAGATCTAACCAAACTAAACTACATCCCACTTTTAAAGAAAGTGGAAGATGATCTTGCAAGATGGAAATCCTTACCAATATCACTCATGGTACAGGTTGCTACAATTAAAATTATGGTCTTATTTTCAATGATCCCAAACAACCACCATCTACCTGGTTTAGGTCTCTGGACTCCTCAATCACTAAAATCCTTTGGCAGGATAAACCTCCGCAAATTAGCTTAAAAATGCTTCAGAAGACCAAAGATAGAGGAGGACTGGATCTACTTTCAGACTTACCATTTATTAGCTCAAGAATAAGAAAACATGAAG